AATTTTTAAGATTTTTTGTTTCATTCACTTGTATACTTCTTTATTTGCCTAATTTACAGTTAAGTTGGGGGCTGCCCATATGTGATTTGTGAGATTGGGGATTTGGGGGATTGGGCACCAGAATCATTGGCCTACTTGGAAAGAAACTACATTTTTTCAGGCTTTGTATTTTCTGAGCGAGCACACTCAAGGAAGAAAGGTGGCTCAGAAGAGCGCTGGATTTAGGAGAAAGTCAGCCAAGAATGATTAAACGGCCTAGACAATTCTAAAAGAGGGAAATCGATTCATAAATGAAAGTCAGTTCAACTCCTAAATTAAAATAGAAAACCATGCAACTGAATTTGTAATTTCTGAGATGATCAGTTGCTAATTTATTTCACAGATAAGATTTGATTGGGCTCCATGGAAGCGCTATCAATTCCATTAACTCATCATTTCTTCCATTTGATTAAATCATTTGATTTTGAAATGTTTAATAAAAAATTAGAACTCACTGTTTTGCTGAAACTAAATTATAATGGAAGACAAGCCCAGAAAGCCTTGGTAATGACAATACAGAAATAAATGCTAACAATGTACAAATGCATAGTCAAGTTATCAAATGAAATTTCATCAACCCAAGCCAATGAAGACACAAAGTTCCAAATTCTGCAGGCCAACACTAAAATAATCAAACATAGCTTATCAGAACCGTAGGAGAGGCAATTCAAGGGTACACTCTGAAGTTTGCTGAGGTGGGAAGCTAGTGACAAGCCTGAGAACCATATGCTATACCTGCTTTATAATGTGATAATTCATAACCATATCTTAATATTGGATAAACTATTAACATAGCAAAATCTAGTAGTATCTTTACATTCTGTAGCACAGCACGTGGCACCAAGAAGGGCAATGTTTTGTTCTTGTCATGAGCTAGAGGACCTTATAAAAGGGAAAATATCATTCTTTTCCAAAGGTTGGTTTTCAACTTTGGCTGATGATTTAAAGTCATTGATCATTAAAGAATTGTATGGCTATTTCAGGAAACCTGTCATCACCCATATTGGAACATGGAATAGAGAAGACACCGTGTCATACTTATAATACAGAAATCTAGGGCTTGCAAATTCCAAAATTCAATGAAAGGTAATCTTACATATTTTAAACATCACAATTCTTGCAGTGTTCTTTGCTCATGCTACTCCAACTTACTTGCACCCTCCCACCTGTTTTGTGACATCAATTTTTAGCGTTTGTATCAGCATCATTGTTTAGATAGTGTTCAATTGCTTTGTTTTTTGGTTGCCTTGTTATCTATGTATCCATCACTAATTCTCTTCAATCTCTTTCAGTACTCACTAAAATCTCTCTCAATATGGTCAGACATATGGTCCTGTAATTTACATATATAGCTTCTCTCCTATTTTTCATCATGTTTTCTTTTGCTTCACTTACTGGGAGACTTTCTTGATTTTATCTTTTTCACAGAATATATTATTTCCAAACTTAGATTTTTTTAAAATTTTATTGTGCTTTGGGTGAAAGTTTACAGGGAAAATTAGTTTCTCGTTAAAAAATTTATACACAAATTGTTTTGTGACATTGGTTGCAATCCCCGAATAGTGTCAGCACTCTCCCCCTTTCCCTTTTTACCCCGGGTTCTCCCTTGTCCATTCATCAGGTTTTCCTGTCCCTTCCTGTCTTCTCAGCTTTGCTTTTGGGCAGGTTTCATATACTTGATTAAAATAAGAAGCACATCCCTCACCTGTGTTACTGTTTGTTTTATAGGCCTGTCTAATCTTTGCTTGGTGGCTGTGAGTTGGAATTGATTTGAGAGCAACGGGTTTGTTTTTTTTTGGTTAGTCTTTGGCTGAAAGGTAGACTTTGGGAGTGGCTTCAGTTCTGAGTAAGCAGGGTGTCTGGGGTAATCTTAGATTTTTAATTTACAAGAAGTCTTTTATGCTCTCTGATTATATTATATAAAAGTTACATTCTGTTCTTGTTTTATGTATGGAATTTCTTCTCTTATCTAAGACGAATAAACATAGCTCTTTGTAGATACATATATATTTTTCTGCTCCCTGAATTGTCTGTTATAATTTTTTCTTTTTGTTATAATTTCTTTCTCTCATGATAGTCTTTCCTCAAATGTCTGGTGATCCTTAGCTTCCTTTTACATTTAAAAATGAGGACTATGTGTGTTATTGGGACTGGTGAACTTCCCTGTATGGTGGTTGGAAGGGGATCTAATCATTTTGATCAGCTGCTCCTCTTTGCTAGTTAGATGGATGAAGCTGTACCCTTTTATGAGTTTAATTTTAATTTTGCTTTGGGGACTTTGTGAATAGAACAGTCTATAAATATATGTAAATACATCTCTTACAAAGAGTTAACATAAACTGATTTTGAATTTTACTTTTTATCATTTTTTTTAGCGACTGTTGCTGAAGCTATTTGGAGTAATGTTGTAGACAAAAACCTTTACTGTCCATTTCTATTTATGGAGGTGAGAATAGATAGAAGATGTTATCATCTTCTATGAAAAGCTGGTGTTAGAAGTCAGGCAAGAGGAAGAGATGATAAGCTCTGTAGTTATTCAAGTTGTCAGTTACAGTTCCATGGCTGAGTAAGGGGTTTTATTATTTCACTCTGTTGTTCCTGAAATTACCCCTGTACTCCAGCAAGTGATATTAACTTGTTTCAGGCGCTTGGAGCATTAGGGAGAACTGGCAGAGAGAACTTAGAGTAAAGAAATCTGCTTTTTCATTTGGGGAGGGGTGTATGTGTGTGCGTGCACACTAGCACGCGTACGTGTATTTTAGATTGAGACATGGACGGTAGTAATTCATTAACTCTTTCCACAGATGGCCGCTCAGAAGAGAGATGTCTTAACTCCTAGTAGAACAGAAAGCGTTACAGGCAAGGACTCCAGTGTCTCTCACCTTATTGTTCCTCAGGTACATCCTCTTCCCTCCTCAGAAATATCTAAATTTTACAAAACTCTTACAAATCTAAAAGGTATTTTGTCTCCCCTATAAATAGTCCATAAACTAGGAAAGCAGGAGCCACCCTTAGATTTATAAATGACCATTATACCGTTTTTAGAACTTCCAAGTAAGCCCTCAAAATGCTTATTTGATGATTACTAATGAATATTTAAAATATATTTTTTTCCAGAATGAAAAATTCCATCTTATTATTTTCACAGGAATTAATTTCAAAGCATGAGTATGAAAGAAGTAAGCAATCTATATTAAAATATACAGATGTCTCTGTCAGGGAAAATCCTCTAAAATATAGAGGCAAATATATAAAGAAGCCTTACAGCTCTATGAAGAGAAACAACCAGAGATGAAAAATAGGCAAAAAATTTGAATAAACACTTCACCAGAGAAGATATATGAATGGCCAGTAAGTACACGAAAAGATGCTCAATGTCATTAGTCATTAGGAAAATGCAAGTTAATATAAAAATTGAGATACTACTATACACCCACTAGAATAGGGGAACTAGAACATTCATACACTGCGGATGGGAACATAAAATGGTACAGCCATTTTGGAAAACAGTTAGCAGTTTCCTACAATGTTAAACATACACTATCCATACAACCCAGCAATTCCACTCCTAGGTATCTATCCAAGAGAAATGAAAATATGTTCACAGAAAGACTTGCATGGGAATGTTCATAGGCGTATTAGCCATAATAGTCAAAACCTGAAAGTAATTCAAATGTCCATCAGTTGCTGAATGTATTAACAAAAATGTGGTGTATATCTATATAGCGGAATATTTTCGGTAATAAAAAGGAACACACCACCGATATATGCAACAATACGGATAGACATCAAAGACATTACGCGAAGAGAAAGAAGCTAGACACATTCCATTTATATGAAATTTCAAGAAAAGATAAAACTACAGAAGCAGAAAGCAGAACAGTAATCTGCTGACTGAATTCAAACAGGAATGAGGAAACTGTTTGGGGTAATAGAATTCTTCTAAAACTGGATTGTGGTAATGGTTGCACAACTGTATCAATTGGCTAAAACTCTTGGTTGAATTTCACGGTATGTAAATTTCACCTCAATAAAACTGCTGAAAAAATTAAGAGATATCTTCTATGGTTAATTTCATATTTAAATTATCAGACAAGCCTCTAAATGAAAAATATCATTCCAAAAAATTATATTTAAACTTCTATTAGTGAGTCAAGAAAAAGCAAGGATCACTCAACAGAACTTAAACATTTGGTTAGATATCACTGGCAATTTTGGAACCATTTCTTTGTATGAAAGGATACTTTTTTTTTTTTTTTTGCCAAAGCAATGTGTGTTAAGTGCAGAAAACATGGAAGGCAGAAAAGCAAAGAGAGATTAAAACAAAACTATTCATAATTCCACCACCCAGAGAGGATTTGCGTTAACATTTTAGTATATAGTCTTTCAGTCTTTCATATAGACATAGACATATGCAAATGCTTTTGATTTTGTACTGAATATTTATTTCTCTCATTGGTCTATATATTTTTAATAACTTAGTTCTTAATGTATGCTGTCTTCCATACATGGAGGCACCTGATTCTACTTACCCAGTGACCAGTAGTTGATTTTTAGTCCAATTACTCTTTTTCATCTCATATCCCATCGTCTCCACACACCCTGGCCACAGCCTCATCAAGTAGCTCATTGTTTTAATTACATTATTGTTCCCATGCTTTTTTGCTCCTCGGTGCCTTTTAGCAAAGAAACATTCTTATTTTCACACTTTTTAAAACAGGAATCTCTTATGATTTTGCTAAAAAACTGACATGCAATTTTGCAAAATTCCATAAGTAAAACAAGTTCCTGAAATGGGAAGAGATTTGTGAGACTTATCTAATCCATTCTGTGTTTTACAAACAAAGAAACAGATTCAGAGAAGTCAAAGAAGGTGCCAATGTTACACAGCTGCAAAGCAGCAATAAGATCAGGGGCCAGGACTCCTGACTCCCAAGCCCATGATTTGTTTTTCTCCGTACCACACCATCCAAAGAAAGACAGGCACGTGTCATGGATAAGGGAATCCTGACTTTCTGAAATCAGTTTTTTCTCTTTTCTGATTGTTTTCCACTTGCAGTGAGCCCAGACATGATAATCCTATAAAGAATATAAACAGAAGATGTTATCTCCCATAGGGCAACTTCTGTTTGTGGCTAAATGAGCCAAGATGAAGAAACACTTCAAATAAAAGACTCAGCTGGAATAACACAGCAAAGAGGCTGCTTAGCTTGCAAGAGAGTCTGGCGCAAAGCCACTGTGATTCATAAACTATAATGTAATAAAGTCGTATGAACAAAACCCTAATTTTCACATTCAACACTGGTTACCTGAATGAGCCATCTGAGAGCTAATTTTTGGAAACAACATTAATTCTAGGGAAGCAAAATGAGCCACTTGATATCAGCCAGAGTGTAGTAGTTACAGGGTTTTCAAATCCTGGAACCCATAGATACTTTTTCTCCATGTCCACTTTCCATGAAGTGTCCCTAGAAACTCCTTAAATTGAATCTTACTCTAATTTGTCTTTTTTCTTAAATCACCTCTGGTTGATGAACGTGTAATACAGGACCAAAGATTAGGCATCTGAAGCAAAAGAAGAGAAAGATGAGGACATCTGATTCTCAGAAAGTTTGAAAGCTCTTAATAACACCAACTCTGCGAGTTTCATTATTTGTAGCCAAGCGACGAAGAGACTAAAGAATTTTTGGCACTGAAAGTTCTTAAAGAATAGATCCTGCAATATTTACCCAAAAAGACTCGGGCAAACGAATTTGTACTAAAATCTCGGTAAAGTCCCGCAAATGAGAGCTAAAGTTAACTTCTTATTATTAAACTTAAGTTTTTAAGGAAACACTGTATGAACTTTGATTGTAGTATAGCTCAAAATAGTCTCTCTTCCTCCCTGTGAAAGCATTATTCATTGATGACTCATTGGAGCCAAGCTTAGCCATGTGAGCTTCTTTGGCCAATGAACTGTGAGCATTGACACATGCCACTTCCAAGCAGAACTTTATGAGCCATTGAAGGAATTCAGTGTATTCTCTTCCTATAGCTCCACTCTTTAAAACCTGGGGGACAGTGGCTCCACCCTTTGAAACGTAGGAGGGAGTGGCCTTGCCCCCCTTGCTCTTTTTTTTTTTTATTGTACTTTAGGTGAAAGTTTCCAAGCAAATTAGATTCCCATTGGATAGTTTGTACATAAAGTGTTTCATGGCCTTGGCTTCATTCCCCATCATGTGTCAGCACTCTCCCCATTCCCGCCCTGGTTTCCCTGTTTCCTTTCATCCTGATTTTCTACCCCTTTCTGCCTTCTCATGTTTGCTCCTGGGCAA